AAGTATGTTTCTTTCAATAATTAATGATAGTTTTCGTCATGCGAAAGACAATCAAGAAGAAGATCAAATTATATTGTCATTTATGCTAAAGAAATTTTTACGATGGACAGGTAATGTTATTGATTGGAATGACAATGTTATTCATTTTTATGATTATTTAGGATTGAAAAAACCAAGTGAATCAGAAATTCAAGAAGAAAAAGATTCTCGGATGCGTTCACAATATTTTCATCCAACTGACAATTTTGCCGATAGAATTGATCAATTATTAGGAGCATTGGATAAGGTATGTGCTCGTCGGACGAGTTTTCATTTGAAATGACTTTGCGTTACTTTGCAGATTTATGTCGATCAACAAGCAGATTTATTAAGATTAAAAAAAGCTGGAGTTTAAGTGTTGTTTTGCAATTATAATCATCGGCAGATAATTGATACAGGATACTCAATTTTAGTTAGATACTAAAGCTTTTTGTACGCGTGTGTTTCTAGATATTTTACATGCTCATATGATTTTTGCTTAAATAAATCTTTAAAATTAACTATGTGTAACTAATGTATGAAAAATGTAAATAATTCCTTGATGAATTTTTATGAAGGATAATGTGAATTGACAAAGAATTATGTACAAAAGGGTGGGTGTGGGTGAGGTGTAGGAACTACAATACCAAACACCCACATAGAATATTTACCATATTCTAATGAGAATTTCTATGAAAAATTCGAAGATATTTTGAGGATGGACAGGGTTGCGATCTCTGTACCGAAACACTCATCTATACCCACACCTTTGAGAAAAAGTACTATTTTTTGTGAATTAATGCAATTTATCAAATAAATTGTTCAATTTTGTTAATGTTTAGCTGAAAAAGACGCTAGATTAAATGGGACGAATTGATAGTCAATTATAGAAATCAGTTTGACTGAAAATGAAGTTAGCGAAGATGCACAAAATAATAAGGACATTTGAAAGAAAAAAATCATTAAAAACTCTAAAGATATAAGTCGATAGAGTCCAATGGAGACTTCCGATTTCAAGTCCGTGTGTTGTTGTGTGTAGTGTAATCAAACGAAAGTAACAGAACCCAAGCCACTTCCAGTGACCGAGAACATTCCAGTTTTACCCGGCTTCTTTGTTGTCACAACCAAAATGTACTTATGTCCAGAACGAAGAAATACTTTGAGTTGAGACTTATGTTCCTCACTACTATCACCATCGTTGCGAAGTAAATTTTGCTTGGGTTTTAAAAAATTAAAATTGTCTTTGTATATATAACCATACGTATCAATACGGCTTTTGATCACGATGATATAGCTTCCATTCGTCGACACATTAATTGGGATAGCTGCAAAGTAGAAGTCTGGTACTGAACACTTCTTACTTAGACGGCAATACTTTGGATTACTTGCATTTAACGATGATGAGTACGCTGATGGCATACTGGACATAGTCGCTATCCAACAAAAAATGAAAAGAATATCGATAATTTTTGAGTATAGGTGTGTTAAACGAAAAATTATATTTTCAATAAATAACTCATTGTTTCTGGTAGCGAATAAGGAATGTAAAATCGACTTCTTTACGTTACTACACGGTTACACTAAACAAAGACTGCTTAATAAATTGAGTTCTCACTTGTTTGTTTTGTTGTTTTTCTCGTAGTTGTTTTTTTTGTTGTTGTCGTTTTTGTTGTTGTCGACGAAAGAGTGGTTGTCAGAGGAAAGCGTACAGATGTTGGGCCAGATGCAATGATTGAAAATGATCCTGTCACGTTCGGTGAGTTCGTCGTCGTAACCAATATATACTTTGTCCCAGATTGAAGATGAACTTTGAGCTTAAACTGCTTCTTTTCACCGCTATCATTATTTTCTGTAAGTAAATTCCGATACGGTTTGAACGGATCGAAACTATTTATGTAGATATATCCGTACGTATCAATATGACTGTTACTAGAAAATTGATAATTGCCAGATGTGGTCACGCTCACTGTTGCAGCCTCATAGTGAAAATTACCTTCGGCACAAGCAACACGACAATAAGTTGGACTAATTGTAGTAAACTGAGATGAATATTTCGATGTAATGTATACAGGCAGTTTTTCTATTTATCAGAAAATAAAATTGATATGAAATTGCACGTTATGTATGTAAATAGATGAAAATAGTTTATGAAGACATTTTCAAGGGTAAGTCACACAAACAACTATCTTTGATTTTTTTTTTATATAGAATATGGCTAGATCAGCTTATCAACTAAATCCCTTTCCATAAAAGTAGGTCAGTCAGACTAAATTTGAAAGGTACAATAGAAAACCATGGATTTTCCAAAATTCTTCTACGAGAACTTAAAGATATTAAAGGTTGCATAGTTGAAAAATGAAGGCTTTTCTAGTGTTTCATTGGGTTTTCTGGTACAGCTTTTGCAAAAATCGTTAGATTTCTAGGTAAGATGTGACGTAGAGATCGTAAACAACCGATACAAACGAAATTAGAAGAACCAGCCCCTTTAAGTGCTGCAAAGTGTAAGGATTTCTTGGCTGGAGTGTGATATTGATTATATCTTTTATTAAGAAATCGCATCCCTTACTGAATATTCGTTGTTCCTAATATAGCACTCAGAATATTCAGTATCCTATCACAAAAATTACCATATCATACACAGGCCATCATTTGGATTAGCACAACAAGTACATTCATACTAGTATCCGACCCGTGTGCAGAGTTCTCGAGTGTTTTAAAAAGTAGGAAAGAAAAAACACTCGGGAGAAACCATCCTCTCTTCTCTGATCGGGAGTGCTGCCCATATAGAGCACCGATTTAATACTGCGGATTGCACAAGCGTTCAGGATTTAACCTAGAACGCATTTATATAAAGTTTTAGCTCATTAGACGTTAGAGATTCAAAAATGTCGGGAGCCGGACCTTTGTGAGAGGTACTGTATTAGAATATTTACTCATAAAAAGACCAGCAGTGAGTGCACATGCCAACAAGACGATCGCTGATAGAATCATGATTAGAATACAGCATCGACGTCGGCAACGTAGACCTTCGTGTAACGCATGACATGTTTTGCCCGTCGTTATTAGAACTTTGTTGTTGACAGGCGTTATCCGTTGATTTCGATAAGCCATTGATTCGTCATGTACGTCAATAGATGCCGTCAGGCTTGGTCGTCGATCAATTATATCTTTCACATCATAATCTGGCATTAAGTCGTCAATATTCAATGGCTGTCGTGTAAGCGGACTCGTACCGTGCTCTTTGATCCATCGTACGATTGCTTGACGTTCATACGTATGGCCATCTGCAGCTTGGACAGGGTCTCGAAAGACCCGAAGTGTAATCGGGCAAACTAAGTCGTATTCCTCTGGACGATTTTGCGGAGCAGCTTGCATGTTTAACTGTGTTTCTCTCTATTGCTGTACTCCTAGCGTTATTAATGGCAGCAGTAAAACAGCGTTGCAAGAGAAAAACACAGAGAAACGAAACAAAAAATCATGCGAGGCGTTTGTTTGACTATGATAAGGACTGTTTGGTAGAGAATATTGTCAGTACAGCGTCAATAAAGCATAAAAAGCTTATTGAAGAAAGGAGAAATTTTTATTATATCATCGCTTTTCATCTCATTGATTGTTAGTTAGAGATTTTTATTGTATACACGTCTGATTTTTTATTATCAACTATCGGTATATATGAATGCAACTGGAGCTTTATGATACAATTGAGATTTTAACTGTATTCGAGCAATAAAAATTCTTCATCTTGGTCGATCTTGATAATTTTTGTATGTTACACTGCTCTGACTGTTCCACACTTACATCGTTGTTTATGTATGAGGCTCACGTTGTGAAACAAAAAAGAAGCTAGCGAATAGTATATTTAGTAGAGCTTAAAGTGTTCTACAAAATTATACATCTTTCGCATTTCTATCTCTCTCTTTCCAAGCCCAATCGCAGTGATTTGATACTGAATTATAGTGTGACTTCTTCATCTGATAGAATAATCGAAAAGGCTCGGATGAGTACAAACATAATTGCAGAAAAGTATTTTTTCGTTCAGGTGAATTATAACAAACTTTCTCGCTGAAATGACTTAATGTTGATCACCAATCGTATAAATTAATTGATATTTAACATGTAACATTTTATCAGACTCATCTAAGACATCACAAGCATATGCTTTTTTCCATCGCCAGGCTGTCAACATGGAACGATCAGTATTATAAATTCATTTCATTAACATTTATCTATATTGAAAGAATAAGCTGTTGTTTGGTTTATGTATTGCATCGCGTGCAGGATGTGACTCAATGAAAACCATCTTGTGGGTGTGGGATGTGCCGGTGTAAGATAAATATAATATATCTACAGCCACACTCACGAATCCATCTTAAAGATTTTCTGTACCTGGGATTGTTCTTCGAATATGTTCATTTTCGACGTTTTCGCAATGTATCAGAAACGTCGTATGGTACGACAAAGTTGAACAAGAGTGCAAATGTAATTGAATGATACTTTTAGACGATCACTTATCGTTTCTACACACCCATCTGCATAGAAGTCAAATAACAATCCTAAATTATTCGCAACTAAAATAATCTTCTCATGAATCTAATGAAAATGTTTTTATTATTATCTCGACGGTGTGAGTGTTGATGAGAGCAGAAATGAATACCCACACCCACACATATAAAATAGAAATATATTCTTAAATCTTCCTCGATAAAAAACGATCGCAAGACAGATTATTGAAAAACATGTGAAATCTAGAAAATGTGTTACGTCTGTAGTGGAGTGACTGCAATAAACGATTGAGTATTGTATTATGATGTTAGAGAAAGATAGATAGCTATCAAAAATGAATTAATGAGAGTTAATCTCATCTGCAACAATACTCTGCCGACCTTCATTCTATATGTTTACAAGATCATGTTATAATGCAGTGCGTACGGAAGCGTTTTTGTTTTAATTTTCATTTTTCCAACAAAGACAATACATAAAAAGTTCGATCACTTTGAAAATCTTCTAAAAACGACACTCTGATTATTTTCTTAAATACAGAAAAACGAAAAACTAAGTGGATAGATCGCTACTTATACGGTAGACGAATGTTGAGGTGATTGACTATTGATTATTTGCTATCTTCAATCATCAATATCAATATTTAGTAGTGAACTCAAATACTTTTTATGTTATTCATTCAATATCTTGTTACATCAATAAACTTTATTGACATTGATTATGCATTCATTTGTATTACGTTTTAATCCCACCTTCAACATTATCGACTCCGCTAAAAGAAAGTATATGATTATTGCTACTATATGTGTCATATATCAAGAAGTAATGTTGAAATCAAACTATCTATGTCTCATCCCATGTGTGTGTGTGTGTACA